ACAGAGAACCGGAGGGGACTGCTGGACACGGGAGGACAGTGGAGGCTCGTGCGACTACTGGGCCCCCAGTGGGGTCAGCCAGTGAGACTGGTACTGGTGCAGCAAGTGGTGTGAGTGTGGTGCAGTCACGAAAGAAGCAACGAGACGCGCCTGAGTCAAGTGTGAAAGTGTGCAAGGCCTCAGCTGAGGTAGGACCTGTGGCGGAAGACGCACGAGCACCTAAAGATGCAGCAGACTCACTAGCACCTGGAGCGGCAGCAGACTCACTAGCACCGAGTGCGGCAGCAGACTCACTAGCACCTAGAGCAGCAGCCTCTACAGAACCAGTGACACATCGCTGAGAAAACAACTCACTAAGCAGCTGCGGGGAGAAGGTCTCCTGCTGACTCTGCTACCGCCTCTGTGCAATACGCAGAAAACCAAAGCCTCCACCACCTGGACGGGCTCGCTGACGAACCCACTCGCGAAGCTGCTGCGGGGATAGCGTGTCCGGGTGAGGCAGTGGCTGTTGCTGTCCACCCCTAGCCGCTGCGACTACCATGATAGTGGCCATGACAGGCAGTGGCAGTCAGTAGCAGCGGCGCAAGGGCAGTAGTAGCGACTGCTGTAGTGACTTTGGAGGCCAGTAGAGTACGTGGACAGCATGGCACAGGCTAGCGCAGTAACAGCAGTAGTGCCAGCAGTGGCAGCACGAGCAGCAGCAGCAGTAGTAGCAGCAGCAGTAGCTCATGCAGCAGCGGCGCGTTGGGCAGCAGGGCGCGCCGGGGCTTTTAGGGTTGCGGGGCGCGCTGGCGCGCTTGGCTGTAGGGCGCGCTGGTGCGCTTAGGGTTGCGGGGCGCGCTGACGCGCTTAGCTGCGGGGCGCGCTGGCGCGCTGGGCTGCAGGGCCCGCTGGCGCGCTTCGCAGTGGGGCACGCTGGCGCGCGTAGGGCTGCAAAGCGCGCTGGCGCGCTTAGCAGCGGGGCGCGCTGGCGCGCTGGGCTGCTGGGCGCGTTGGCGCGCTAAGCAGCGTGGCGCGCTGGCCCGCGGGGCGCGCTGGCCCGCGGGGCGCGCTGGCGCGCTTAGGGCTGCGGGGCGCGCTAGGGAAAAGGCTGCTCGCGGGCAGAAGGGGCGCGCAGGGCAGGGGCTGCTCGCGGGCAGCAGGGGTGCGCGGGGCAAGGGCTGCTCGCGGGCAGCAGTGGCGCGCGGGGTAGGGGCTGCTCGCGGGCAGCAGGGCGCGCGGGGCAGGGGCTGCTCGCAAGCAGTAGGGCGCGCGAGGCAAGGGCCGCTCGCGGGCAGTAGGGGCGCGCGGGGCAAGGGCCGCTCGCGGGCAGTAGGGGCGCGCGGGGCAGTAGCCGCTCGCAGGCAGGAGGGGCGCGCGTGACAGCTGGGCAGCGCGCTAGGGCAGGCAGTGCGAGTAGCTGCAGGGCAGCGCGACACTGAGCGAGCAGGGCCGGACAGCGCAAGGGCGCTTCGGGCAGGAGAGAGCGGAACTATCGGTGGGCCCTAAAAACCTAACAGGTTTCCTGCTCTGAATACCATGTCAAAATAACTGTGCAGGAATGATTGGATTAGCAAGAGTTGGGGTACAAGTACTAGCCCTGGAAGTGCTGTACCCCATAAGGAGTGCCCCACTATAGCCTACAAGTAAGGTTGTACTTTGACAGGGTGGGGAAGATTCCCTGCCAGCGCAACGTTTATGCTGCCACGCAGGGTCCTCTACGGGGGTAGGCGGGGGTTTCCCGCCTGTCATTGACGAGGACCCCGAGGCGCCAACCTTATGGGGTCCCCTTCGTTGCCCATTTGTGCACCCTCTTTCTCATTCTTTTTCATTCAGATTTCAGTATAGGCCGCCTGGCTGGCGACGCCATGGCAGAATTCAGCGGGACGCACTTCCTCTTCAAGAAAAAACCAGCTCGCCCGTGGCGACTTACCGACGACGGGTGGTATACCCGTGAGCCAACAGCGCCTCCAGTGCCACCTGAACCCCCCTGCGCCCCCTGCTCCTCCTGCTCCTCCTGCACCTCCTGCTCCTTCTGCTCCTCCCGCTCCTCCTACTCCTCCGAATCCGCCTGATACCGGTACGAGTAGTGCTCACCAACGGCCCGTGCTCCAGCTGTATTTACCAGCCACTTTCGACGAGTGGTTGTCTGAACCGGACACACCCAAGGCCCCCGATGTGTTCATCCAGGCTCCGTCGCCTGCACCACGGTGGGGACAGCCTGAAGCCTGATCATGGGACGAGTCGGCTGTGGGCGCTAACGATGACGTGGCCGCCGATAAACAAAACACTGGCGACGGTGACGGTGGAGGCGACGGTGAAGCGGGCGCCGAGGAGGACGTGTTCCCAGATCGTGGTGCAACTGCCGCAGACGACGACGGTGTGGAGTCTTGGTGGCGCGACACACCACGCGAGAAGATGCCTATACTGACGTATCCGCCGATTAACAAAAAAAAGACCCCACCCCTCCTCCGAGAACCGAGATGCCCGCCCCCCCTCTCCCAGGCACAAGCCGTCTCAACATAAACGGCAGTCCTACACCGCCCAGGAGAAACTCAGGTGGCTCGTGCGGCTGGAGCTGGTGGCATCGGTAAGCGAGGTCGCGCGGGAGTCCGGCATACACCGCAAATGCCTGACGGAGTGGAAAACTCAAGCGGAGGAGCTCAAGGCTTCACACGCCGCACGGTGTCGACTTCATGGGCGCGGGAGGTCTTCTTGGTACAGACCCATGGAGTTGAAGGTGTACGCTCAACTCCTCGACTGGCGACGCCGCGGTGTTGCAGATTGGTCACGCGAGGTGATGAAGGTGCTGTTCCCGGAAGTCAAGTGGAAAGGGAGTCAGCAGTGGTCGGAGCGGTTCCGCAAGCGGTGGAACCTCAGCGTGCGCATGAAAACTAAGGTGGCGCAGAAAACACAGGAGCATAAGTGCCTCGTTTCCCGCTACCTCGAGCAAATTCGCATGGTTTAAGTGCGGTTGCTCCCGTGTGCATGTCTTTATCTTGTAGCGGTACTCATCCGCTTTCCTATCTGTCCTTCCCTCCCCGTGCGCAGACGTGGCGAAGCAGTGCAAAGAATTTTGGCAGTTCGTCCGCGACGCACGCAACGAGTACGATATCGACAATCGATATATAATCAACGCCGACCAGACGCCTCTTTGGTTGGAGATGCCGGCGACAACCACCATGGAGCAGACGGGCGTGAAGTCGGTGCCAATCCGCAGCGGTGGTTACCAGAAAGAAAGAGTCACCGTGATGCTGGCGTGCACGGCGACGGGCGAGAAGTTGAAGCCGTGGGTGTTTTTCAAGCGCAAGACAGTCCCAAAGGGTGACTTCCCGAATGGTAAGCACACGTTCTTGTGCGTGTCTTGGACGTTTAAAACATAAACAGAATTAACCACCGCTTGCATGTGTGCAGATGTCGTGGTCGGCTGCCAAGAGAACGGGTGGATGGAGGCCACTGGCGTCATCAAGTGGCTCGATGAGGGCGTGGTGCCGTTCCTGAAACCGAAATTCGGCGTGCAGAGTCGGAGCGCCATGCTAGTGCTGGACTCCTACCGTGGTCACCTCACCAAGGAAGTCAAGGCGAGATTCGCGGCGCTCAACATCGTGCCGGCGGTCATCCTGGCGGGATGCACGGCAGACGTGCAGCCGCTCGATGTGTCGGTGAACAAGAGCTTCAAAGCGAGTGTTCGCCAGCAGTTTTAGTCCTGGTTTGAGGTGGACGGCATGAACATTCTGACACCTGCAGGTGAGGGACGACATGTCTTCTCGTCTCCCCTTCGTGTGTTTGTTTGCCTGCTTGTGGACTAATGTGTTCCCCACTCCCTTTCATGTGGTGCAGGGAACATCAAGAAACCACCCCCGGCGGTGGTGCTCAAGTGGATTTCACGGGCGTGGAAGGCTGTGCCCGCCGACCTGATTAAGAAAGCCTTCCTCACGTGCGGCATCAGCAATGCCCTTGACGGGAGCGAAGGCCATCTGGCGATGGCGCACCGGAGAAGCCAGCTGAGCCACGAGGTAGAGGTAGACGACGACATCCAAGCAGACGGGTTCTGGGGCAACAACGCCACGGAGCCTGAATCGGACGAGGAGGTAGAGCAGGTCTAAAGCTATACTAGGCAAGATGATGGTTTTTAGGCTAGGACAATAGTCAACCTATTGTATGTGAAACTTGTAGCTAAACAAATGAAGACTAGCCTTGCTTTAGGTCTAATAATAATGACAAAAAATCAGCAAGTAAATTTGGGGTGCGCTTATAATAAGTAACGATTTTATAAGGGGTGCGCTTCTAATTGAGGATCGGCCATAAGCGCATTCCTCCAGATATAAGCGCATGCGCTTTTAATAGGCCTGCGGTTATATCCGGGGCGATACGGTATACCATTGAAAGGTGACTTTCACCTCAAGCATAGTCATACCGGTAGTCTTTTAAGAACAAGACTCACCAGTAGTTTGCACTGCTGTATACCCCTGGATATTTTATAGGGTTATAGGGAATTGAAAGGGACAATGTTGGAATTGAAAGGGTATCAGGGATGCATGTGAGAGCATACATCAACATGCATACCCCAAAAAAATTGTATCTCGAAACATCCACTGCAACAACGCGATCATCACACAACATGGTAATGCTCATATGCAATTACATTTCAAGGAGCGAGTTGATAGACAACGTGTTTGTATGCCTGCATGGATCGCAGGGGATGTTGAGGTGAGTGCATGTGAGAGCATACACGCTACCATGCATGCATGTAAGAGCATACATGCGCTACCATGCATGTGAGAGCATACATGCGCTACCATGCATGCAAGTGAGAGCATACATGCGCTACCATGCATGTGAGAGCATACATGCGCTACCATGCATGCAAACGCTGTGAACCCACATGAGACTGTGTCAATGAGAGGGTGAGGGCATGGAGTTGAGTGCATGTGAATGTGAGTGTGAATGCATGTGGGAACATGAGTGGGAACGCATGCACGAGTATGAGTGTATGCAATGGCACACCAAAGAATGAGTGATCAGCCAAGCTGTGCTTGCAGCGCGCACACCCACGATCGCAGTAGTGGGGACCACGGAGCACAGGGGAAGGCAGAGAGCAGGTGGATTGCCACCTGGGAGGAACAGGGAGCAGGGGGTGTGAAAGCGGGGAGGGAGAGAAGGAAAAGAACACATCACGCATCCATCACCACTCATGCCATTTGAAGTGGCGTTAAAGAAATGTAAGTATGGTAAAAACTCACCCCTCACACATGCCATCCAAGCGTCCTTACCATCCCGTGCCATGCATTGCACTCTTGGGATTATAAGCAGTCTAGTCCCATCAAGCACAGTTCACGTTACGTGTAGTTCAATCAGAGACGTTGCACAATTCACATAGTCCCATCAAACAATCTCTCGGACACCGTTGATACCCTTCCTACCGCCACTGCTGCTGTCCTTTCCTCTAGTCCCCTCACCTGCCTCGCCCGCCTCACCTGCCTCACCACTCGTCTCCAGCTGCTGTGATCACGGCCCACCAAGCCACCTCACCCAACTGCTCCCTCTTATGACCCCACTCATCCACCCCCCTCCTCCCCCTCCCATCCCTCTCCTCACCTGCCATGCCACTCGCCTGACTGCCTTCTCCTCATACACTCGCACACAAGTGCTTTCTCGTTCACCCCTTCTGAGTCAACTCAAGATTCACCTCCTTACACATATGCTCCTTGTTCCCTCTTCCTATCCCTCTCCTCACCTGCCACGCCATGCGCCTGACAGCCTTCTCCTCATGCCCCGCCAGGCACTTCACCACCACTGCTGCCATTCGCATCCGCACCCCCTCCTCCTCCTCCTCTCCCCCTCTCCACCAGTCCAATGGACTGCAGACACGTGGCATGTGGGAGGAGGATGAGAGAAGAGGCGTGTGTAGGGCCAGTGGTGGCAGTGTGTGTGGTGGAGGCAGGGAGTGGGTGAGCGAGTGTAGGTGCAGTGGTGCATGGGCAGCTGGGGAGTCATCAGACTGTTGCTGCTGCCGCTTCTGCCCCACATGCTCATCTGCCTTTGCTTGACTCATGTGTGCGTTTCCTCTCACTCCAGGCTGCTTGGCTTGCTGTGGGAGAGGCAGTTGTGAGGAGCGGTGCAGATGGCGTTTGAGGCAGAGGGGCAGGGGTGGCGGTGGAGAGGCGGGGAGAGCGAGGGAGAGGAGGCGGGGGAGAGTGTGGAGGGCGAAGGGTGGAGAGACGTCGCAGAGGAAGGTGAGCGCGAAGAGAGCTGCATGGCGCTGTTGGGGTGGTGGTGAGGGGGGGGTGGTAAGGGTGGGCGGTGGTGGGAGAAAAGGGTGGGGGGGGGGGGGGGAGGGGAGGGAAGGGGGGGGGGGGGGGTTGTTGAACATTAGAGCGAAGGAGGAGAGGAAGGTGAGAAGCGAAGAGAGCTGCATGGCGCTGCTGGGGTGGTGCGTGGGGAGGGGAGAGGAACAGTGGAGGGAAGGAGGGGAATGAGGGAGAGAGGGAGGGTAAGGAAAGGTGCGTGGAACAGAGGGGAAGAAGGGCGATGGGGATGAAGGGGGCAGGACAACATGGAGCAAGGTGACAGCAAAGAAAGGTGCGTGGAGCTTGGGGTGGGCTGGGCACACAGTTGCAAGGGAAAGTAAGGATGGAGAGGCAGTGTATCGAGAATTTTGGAGTGAAGGGAGGCTGCATGGAGGTTGTGGTGGGAAGGAATACATGGCAGAGGAAGCGACGCGCGCAGCGGAGAGAGAGGAAAGGACCGTTTGAGAAATGGAGCTAGGAGTTCATGGGCAGCGTGGAGAGGGAAGGACCGGGTTGAGGGAGGGATGGGAAGGAGGAAACTGCAGAACAAGGGAGGGAGGTGTGAGATGGGCGAGGTACAGCGAGTGAGGGAGAGGGAATCGTGAGACGCATGCAAGGCATGCAGAGCACTGACAGCACAGAGCACTGACACCATATGATACACACATATGCACACGTACATGTAAACCTACAGACGCCACCTCCCACTCAACCCACACCTCACCTCCTATTCGTCCTTATCCCCCACCTCCCCTGCCCTTCCCCCCTCGATTCTCCAACCCCCACCTCACCTCCTGCTGTCCCTCTGCCTCCATTGCTGCCCGCCCCACCAGCTCCTGCACGTGTGCCACGTCAGCAGCCAGCGGAGCCAGGCAGCCAATGAGGCGCAGCGCGAGACAGCGGGCTTCAAAGGGGTCAACCGAGTCAAGAGCGGCAGCAGCATGTGACGATGGGGGCGAAGGGGAGTCACTTGGCATGGCTGTGACTGTGCCTGCTGTGGTTGTGACTGTGACTGCTGCTGCTGCTGCTGCTTCTGCGGTGGGTGGGAGTGGAAAGGAGGAGCGAGAGAGCAGAGGGGCAATGCGGGTGATGACTTGGGTTGGATTCAAGAGCTTCCGGGCAGTCAACACGCCCGCCCAGTCACTGGCGCCGCCGGCAGCACCATCACTGCCAGCACTATCGCCACCATCGCTATCACCATCACCATCACCATCACCATCACTCTCACTGCAATCACCACTGTCACCACTGCTGCTAGCACCGTTGCTTCCATCAATGTCAGCACCACCACTTTCTCTCTCTGCCTCCCTCGTGACCACTCTCCTTCCTTTCCACATGTCCGTCACTCGCTCTCCCTCCCTCCTCCACCGCCAGTGCAGCAGGCTGACGTCACACATTATGCTGACGTCAGGCATGGCGTCACCATCCGCGTCACACCTACCAGCACCGGGAGGCGTTCTGAGGAAGGCAGGTGCGAGTGAGGGGGCAGCGGCTGCAGCTGACGTGGCATGATGAGATGCAGGAGAGGGAGGAGAAGGAGAAGGAGGAGGGGTAGGAGAGGGAGGAGAAGGAGGGAGGGGGGAGGCGGCAGTGGTGAGGTGGAGGAGGAAGAGCCTGAGAATGCAGACGCGGGTGGCGCTGCTGCTGCTGAAAACATCAGCCAGTCGCAGAACCAGCGAATTGAACTGTGCCACGTCACTCTCGGACACAGGGGCTTGTCGCCCCTGCCCCTGCTCCTCCCACCCGCTCCCCCTCCCGCTCTCCGTCTCCCTCCCCCTCTTCATCTTCCTCCCCGCCCCTGCGCCCCTCCCCCCTTGCTGCCCCAGCGTCCATTCGACCAGGGAAGGCCCGGCTGCGAGAATTCCGTGGCACTGGGTGGCTGAGAGGGCGGGGACAGGGGGACGGGTGGAATGAGTGGGAGGGAGAGAGAGGGAGGGAGAGAGAGGGAGGGAGGGGAGAGAGTGGAGAGAGGGGAGAGTGCGGAGAGAGCGGAGAGTGCGGAGAGAGGGAAGAGGGAGTGGGAGAGAGGGAAGAGGGAGTGGGAGAGAGAGGAGGGAGTGGGAGAGAGGGATGGGAGAGTCATGCGAGTTGTAACGGGAGGCCGACCCCCTGAAGTCCAGAGCCAATGGGGACGTTGGCACCACGGGGGGACGAGTGTTAAGGGCATCCGCTGCGCCGCATACGAGCATCCCAAAACATTGTGGCGACTCGACAAAGTAGCCACATCAAATCTACATACTGCACCTATTGCATGGGCTAAGTTGGAGTAACCAATGTACGTACAGGTTTTTCTACTAACCCTGTACTCCCAGTGCAACAAGCGAGTCGCCACATTGCAGGTGCTCTCCTCACACCTCACCACGCGAGAGTTGGGACAATGTACGTGTACAGTAGGAACTGTATGTCAAACACTACGTGCACGTCTATGCACCTTCATTGTACTATTCAACCTGTTGCTCCTAAGTAATGACAATGTAGATACTGCCTTCTGACAATGTATCCTCAAACATTGTAGGATTAGCAGGGTAACAACCAGGTGTTCATATACGTTTCCAATTCACGCTGTGATGGAATGTTTCATGGATATAACAATATATTAATATAACGTTACAAAAACACAATAGGCTTAGGAAAGACTAGCTAAAAACGCTTCATATGTATCGCCATCACCAAGAGCAACCTCACTAGGGGAGCGATTCTGGCAGCAACAAGCGTACAGCCCATCTCTGTAAAGCAAGAATCAACATTTTAGAAAAATAATAGAAAAGCGCAAGTACTCACCACCCTTTTGTTAATTCCCACGAAATACTAATTAGGAATGACGAAATAATAGATGCATAGCATGCAGTCCACGGGCAAGCATTTCGCCTGCAAAATCGCGACATACTCAAGTAGCGTTAGTGTTAGCGCCACGAACCACAGGAGCCCAGTAGGTGAAGTACAAGAGAGAAGTGAATGCATAACTAATCAAGACTTTGATGGAATGACAAAAAAATGGCCTCATAGTAGACAGACCACGGACAAGCCTTACGCCTGCAAAATCGCGACACACTCAAGTTGCGTTAGTAATGGGCACAGAACTGACGATAACAAAAAAATAGCGCATTATCCACGGTCGAAGTTTTAGCCTGCAAAAATGCGACACATACATTCAGGGTTAGTGTAAGGAAAACAAACAATAGTAACAAAAAACAATGCAAACTGAAGCAACAACGATGAGGCAGCAAGCACGGCCATCCCCACATCAGCACGCCCATTTCGCCACGTTCGTATCGCCACACCCATGTCGCCTTCCGACGTGCGCTCAATATTTCTAAGGTATAACCACGGTAGGAGCGTGGTCTCGCTGGGGAAACCACCTAAGAGAAAGGAACTGAATAAGAGCTGTCTGGAAGCTAAGAAATGAATGGAGGTGAAGAGGGTTTGTTGTTTGATGTGTGTGTGTGCCTCGGCCGAAACCTGGGGTTGATGGAACTTGAACCAATCGGAAATCTGCCAGCTCTTTCATCTCTCGATCTTGGCCTTTGAATGATAGGAGCATCGACGGCTATGAAGTGTCAACGGGCCACTGGAAATCTGCAGCACAGCATGAGAAGAAATCGACGGTTGAAGATTTAACCTGATTTGGATCTAAGGTTGTAATTCCAACCTTTCTGAAATAGGTTGAGACTAGTCAGCTGAGATCTTGACCATCCAGAAAAAAGTTCAGTTCGACAGTGTCGTTTCGTTTTCCAGCCTGAAGAACAACTAATCTTATCCGTTAAAGGCGCCTCTGATCGACGGCTAACATTCCAACCTGCACAAAACTTCTCAGTTTCCAGCAGAAGGCTCAGATTCGATCTGAACTGTCAATGTCTACAATCGACGGTTATCGATTTTTTATGGCTTAAGTTGCGCCGAAATCCGCGTCAACTGCTGTCTTGGTGCGAGTGGTACGTTTTCGCGTCTATTTATTACGCTTTGTGTTATTCTGGGAGCTTCAAAAACGGGTTTCTAACGCAATAGATTTGTATTTGCTAGTCATTATACTGAATATTCGGACCAAGTTCCATCGAAGTACAGGCCTGCTAGGATCATTGTAGGTTTGGAACCCCACCGACAATGTAGGCTCGAACAATGTGAGCTTGCTCGGCAGGCAAAGCATGTACGTAGTCGTCACCTCCTTTGATGTATATTCATCCGACTTTATTGCAAGGTAGGTTTGGCAGGTATAGTTAGTTCTAGGGTGGCCTAATAATATGCACCTTCATACACCATACTCAACACACACCACAGACGTGTGTACTAAGTCCCCACCCCATGGTTTGGTACCCCAACCCCCCTGCCAAATGTTTTGGGATGAGTGTTAAGGGCATCCGCTGCGTCTCATACGAGTGTTAAGGGCATCCGCTGTGCCTAAATAACACCCTCGCTTACCCGCTGGGCATCCACGGGGGCGATGGCGCGTGGCAAGGCACGGCGGGGCATGGCGGGGCACGATGGATGTGGATTAGGCGAATGAGTAAGCGAAGGAGGACACGGCAGGGGAAGGAACGAGATGTGCGGAGTGCGGTGAAGGAGGCGGGAGCAAGGAGGCTGACGAGGTGCGAACGACTTCTCGCAGCGACAACGGATACGCGCGTACGAGTCTCAGGGCCTGAACTGCAATAAATTTGATTAGGGTTACATGTGCTGTGGTTTCATCGGCGACCCACCAGCCTGCGTGGAACGCAAGGCTCGTTCGAGATGCGCCATCCAATCCGTCGGCGAGCCCTCGCGACCCGCCATTGCGTCCTTATCAACAACAGCTGCAGCTCTCGGATATAAGCGATACGGTATGTGCGGGTGAGGTGCTCGTGGCGACTTTGTTTCAGGATTGTACTTATATAAGAATAACACTCTTATTGTTAGGCCCCTTGGCCTAAATCCGCTAAGGAATAGCGGGGTTGACTAAATTGAGGATAAACGCGGCGGAATACTTTGGCGAAAGAGAGTGTTGGCGAAATAGGCGAAGAGGTAACTGAGTAATTGAAGAGTTGAATGAGAATTTATTGATATTGGGGAATACAAGCAAGGTTGATATAGCATGCAAAGTCGAATGTCGGAAAGTACTTCGTGGGACTAGAATTGTAAGGCAAGAAGAGTAGAGTGCCACGTGGCACTAGGAAATCTGGAAAGATAGGATGATGATAAGGTTGGGAAGTACTGTTCTGGATGAACAGTAAAACCCCCTGTAACACTACCCCCCTCCCAAGGATGCGACGTCCGCGGCGCCTGCAGACTGAAGGTACGCTTGGAGGTAAGCGTTGTCATGAGACAGTGAGGACGAAGGAACCCAGCTGTCGTCTGCTGCGTCGTAACCACGCCAACGAACCAAGAAGTCGATGAAGGAGACACCCCCCTGGAGACGGCATCGGTGCCTGAGGATGCGCTGGATCTGGTAGTCGGGCTCGTCGGTGTCAACAGCTACCGGCAGTGGATTGCGATCACGGCCCGAGAATGCGGTGTTAGGATCGGTGTAAGGCCGAAGAAGAGACACGTGGAATGACGGGTGCATGCGGAAATGAGCGGGAAGGCGAAGGCGGTATGCGACTGGACCAAGTGCGCGCTCAATGACAAATGGACCAATGAAGCGTGGGCGGAGCTTGCTGTCCTGTGGCAGTCGGAGGTTGCGGCTATCCAAAAGAACACGGTCGCCGACTGAAAACGACACCTCACGACGACTGCGGTTGGTGGTGCGTGCCATGCGTGCATTTGCGAGCTCAAGGTGCTTCCTCACGTGATCATGAATGAAGGTGAGATGCTGGTGGAAGTTGTCCGCACGAGGGACTGTGGGTGTGAGATCGACACGAGTGGGGACATTGGGGTGCTGACCGTACAGTGCGAAGAACGGTGACATGCCTGTGGACGAGTGGTGCGTGTTGTTGTAGGCGAACTCGGCCATGCTCAGCTTCTTGTCCCATGCGGCTGCGTCGTGCATCGTGATGCTGCGAAGAATCTGCTCCAAGGTCTGGTTCACACGCTTGGTCTGTCCGTCTGTCTCTGGATGGTACGCAGACGACATGGCTAAGCGAGTCCCAAACAGTGCGAAAAGCTGCTTCCAGAACTTCGAAGTGAAACGAGGGTCGCGGTCTGAGATGATGGAATCTGGAACCCCGTGCAGTCGGACTACGTTATCTACGAACAGCGCCGCGGCTTCCTCTGCTGTGACCTTGCCGTGCGTAGGGATGAAGTGCGCTGCTCGAGAAAACTTATCCACTACCACGAAGATGGCGTCGTGACCCCTAACTGTGCGCGGTAAAGCCATGATGAAGTCCATCGTAACTACCCGCCAAGGGCGGTCGGGTGGTGGAATCGGCTGCAGAAGTCATGCCTTGCGCTGGCGAGAGGACTTCGTACGCTGACACGTGTCGCACGAGCGAATGTAATCCTCTACGTCTGCTGCAAGCCCTGGCCAGAAGTATGTGCGACTAAGCGTCTTAGCCGTCTTATCTGCTCCGAAGTGACCCGCGCTAACTACATCGTGCGCCTCGGAAAGAAGAAGCTGTCGAAGAGGGCGGTAGGCTGGAACCCAAATCCGTGTGGTACCCTTCCGTATGTAGACACTACCCTGCACCTCTGCTCCTGCGGGCGGTTGTGATGTGAAGTCGGGATCTACTGTGTAACCGTGCTCGAAGAGTGCTGTGAGAAGTGGATGGCCGGCAGTGACAGTGAGGCTAGCGACCTGGCAACTAGGGCGAGTGAGCGGATCTGCTGGGTTGCGAACGCCTGGCTTGTACTCTATCCTGTAGTGGAAACTTCCCTCCATAAACTCCATCCATCTAGTCTGGCGACGACTCAGCTGCAGCTGCGACTTGAGGAAACGAAGCGAGCAATGGTCCGTGCGTATAACACTATCTGCCCCTCTATGTAGCACCTCCACACCTTATACGCATGGATAATCGCGAGCGCCTCCTTGTCGTGAATCGGATAGTTCAACTCCGCTCCCCTAAGCTTACGCGACCCGTACGCGATCGGCTGTAACCCGCGTCCCTGGTCCTGAAGAAGCACTGCTCCTATGGCCTGATCTGAAGCGTCGGTCACTACAACATACGGGCGAGTAGGGTCGGGATACGACAGTGTCGGTGAAGTCGTGAGCGACTGCTTCATCTGCTCGAACGCCTGCTGCTGCGCTGTACCCCAAACATACTCTACGCCCTTCCGAAGTAGGTCGGTGAGTGGACTAGCGATGGAAGCGTAACCCTGAACGAAACGACGGTAATAATTGGCGAATCCGAGGAAGCTCTGCAGTTCCTTGATTGAGGTCAGTGCTATCCAATCCTGTACTGCTGCGATCTTCTTTGGGTCGGTCCTAATGCCACTAGCGGATACGACGTGACCTAGAAACTCGACCTCGGGGAGGAAGAACTCGCACTTCGACTGCTTAGCGTACAGCTGCTCCTTCCGCAAGACCTCGAAAACTTTCTGCAAGTGCTGCACGTGCTCCTCTTTCGTCTTGGAGAAGATGAGGATGTTGTCTAGGTAAACTACGACGAACGAACCTAGGAACTCGGAGAGGACGGTGTTCATGAGCGTCTGAAACGTCGCTGGGGCGATGGTCAAACCGAACGGTAGAACCCTGAAATCGTACAACCCCTGCTTCGTACGAAACGCCGTCTTATCCTGATCCTCCGGAACTACTCGAATCTGGTGATATCCTGAGCGAAGGTCGATCTTAGAGAAGACTCTAGCGCCCTGCACTGCATCTAGGAGATCCTCTACTCTCGGCACTGGGAATCTGTTCTTGACGGTGGCGGCGTTCAGTGCGCGGTAATCTATGCACATCCTTAACCCTCCGTCTTTCTTGGGTGCGAAAAGGATCGGTGCTGCCCAAGGCGATCTAGATGGCTGTATGAACCCCTGCGCGAGAAAGTGCCTAACCTGCTGCGTCATCTCCTCTGTCTCCGCTGGACTCAACCTCCACTGCGGCTTCGCTACTGGTCTGCTTCCCGGCTCCAACTCTATCCGATGGTCTACTGCTCGGCTGGGAGGCAACCCTGGGGGCAACTCGTCGGGGAAGACGTCTGCGAACTCTGCTAACAGTGCACTCACCTCAGCAGAAAGAGTCGCCTTCTCACCAACTGCTGCACTCCCTCCTTTCCCCTCCTCAGCTTCCACCTCCTCAAGGAAAACCGCAAAGATCCGCGCCGCACGCTTCACTAACTGTCGCACACGAACAGCATTAATGATAGCTGTGGAGGATGTGGCCGCATCGCTCCACTGTGGCAGCTCCCGGAACTCGCCATCTACCTTGACGCTGCAGCTTCCCTGAGCCCAATCGAACTGAGTGTTAACCGTCCGTAGCCAATCCCTACCGAAGATGAAGTCGTAACCGTCCAGCGTCGCAGAATCGAAATCACGCCTAACCGTGATTGGTCCTAGCACTACGCGCAACTTGCGAATGACTGGTCCTATGTGAAGTGGCGTCCCATCTACCATGCGAGCGTCCTTGAAGTTGACTGCCGAATCTGCCTCGAGATGGAGACGACTAACTAATGAAGACGAAACGAACGAGTGGCTAGCTCCGCTATCGATGAGAATCTTGACTGGAACACCGCGAAGCTTCCCTAGAAGCACGACTGGACGATCAACAGTGTCTACCTCGTTCGGCATAGATGACTGCTCTAAGGCCGTCTTCTCTACGTTGGTAGACGTGGCGGGTTCGGAAGCGTCCACACCAGCTAGCGACCCGCTATCTACTGGCGGTTTCCGTTTCCCTGCTGCCGCTCCTTAAGCTGTGGGCAGTCCCGCTTCATGTGTCCCGGCTTTTTGCAGTAGTGACAGTTCCCCCTAAAACCCGTTTTCTGTGAGCCGTGACTGTTAAGTGCACCAATCTCCATGGGCGATGGTCCGTCCCTCGATCGAGTGTCGGTGATCGGTTTGTATCCCCTATCGCGATCGTCACGACCCCGTCGGCTTCGTACTGCGTCGACGCGTTCTGCTGCTGCGACTACCGACTCGAAGGTGGACAATCCGTGAATCGCTATGATCTCCGCTATGTCCGGCTTCAACCCTTCGAGGTAGCGATCGCGCATCTCTGCTTCCGTGATATCGTCTATCTCGTTGCAGATGCTGAAGAACCGTCGTGTGTACTCCTGGACGTTTCCTATCTGTCGGAAATGACGCAGACGCTTCCTAGCAGCTTCGGAGGCATTCACCAAGTCGAACCTACTCTTCAGCGCCGCTTCAAATCCTTCCCATGTCGTCGGAACCGTGGTAACACCCAAAGCTAAACTCCCTAAGCTCGAAGTTGCAGCTGCATGCCCCTCGCCCTGTTGATGCCCGTCCAAATGAGCCCTTCTTACAGCAGTTTGCGTGAGTTGGCGCCACCACTCCAAGGCCGGGCCCCTCAGCAGCGTAACGGAGTACTCGATCCGCTGCTGCACGTCCGCCTCTTGCACCCCGCTCGCGGCGAAGTAGTTGTTCAGCATGAAGATCCACGTCCGCACGTTTGCGTCGCGTTGACTTGGGTCGAACGACTCGGGTTTCTGCGGCTTGAGTGCGCTTCGACGTTCCGGCAGCGCTTCCGCGCCAGTCGACGTGTTGGGTGCAGGAGATGGTGCGGCATGACCATGAGAAATTGACGCGAATTCACAAAGCTGTTGCATTTCAGCCCGTACCTGACGATTTTCCAGCGTCAACGCTTCGAGTTGGCGCATGAGCTGAGCAAGCGTGTTGCCCATGTCGTTGGGGAGAGCGGTCATGGTTTCATCCATGTCGGCTCGACGACTCCAAGTCTGCAAGTCGGCACCGCGGGACGATGACGTCGTAGTCTCGTCGTCGACGGTCGCTCGTTGGAAGTCGCTCCCCGCGAATGCTCCTGATACCAAGTGTTATGCCCTTTGGCCTAAATCCGCTAAGGAATAGCGGGGTTGACTAAATTGAGGATAAACGCGGCGGAAGACTTTGGCGAAAGAGAGTGTTGGCGAAATAGGCGAAGAGGTAACTGAGTAATTGAAGAGTTGAATGAGAATTTATTGATATTGGGGAATACAAGCAAGGTTGATATAGCATGCAAAGTCGAATGTCAGAAAGTACTTCGTGGGACTAGAATTGTAAGGCAAGAAGAGTAGAGTGCCACGTGGCACTAGGAAATCTGGAAAGATAGGATGATGATAAGGTTGGGAAGTACTGTTCTGGATGAACAGTAAAACCCCCTGTAACACTTATAATAATTGTCGGGTTGAGTACAGGATGCAAACCACTCCTGGCATAATTTGAGTATCAATGATATTGGCCGGTCTTTTATTAGGCTAGGCAACGGAGCACGGGCGGGCTAGGCTAGGCTAGGAGCGTACCTACTCATAATACCATCTCAGAAGTTGAACAGCGGAATGAATGCATTAGGGTTCCAAGCAGTAGAAATAGCAACCCTAGGAATATGCTGCACTCCCTACAATGCTACTCACTGTAGCCTAACAAGACAGTATAACATTTGACAAGTACTGTGAACTGCAAGACCTACCAATTGGTCTTCAGAACTAGACCTAGTACCTAGGGGTTCACTTCAGCACCTAGTACCTAGCAGTGTTCACAAGAGAATGGCGGTAAGCTAGAAACACGCCATTACTCAAGAAGCAGACAGGCATGAAATACAGCATCCCACCATCACAAGCAACATCACAAGGGTTACAGGACGATCATGCAAATGAGTGGATAAGGGAAACAGAGATGGATGAGAAGGCAGAGAACTGGCCGGGGGGGTGTTGGGGGAGTGGGAGGGGAAGAGGCGGGCTTGGGAGGGAAAGAGCGGGGGGAGGGCACGTGGGTACCAAAGTGAGAGCAAGCGGAGAGTTGGGGAGGTGGGATGGGAGTAGGAGTGGGGACAGGGACAGGGAAGGAACGACAGGAGGATAGCCTCGGACCGACCGCATCTCCTTCCCTCCGTCCATCCCTCTCTCCGTGCATGTCGGCCCGTCCGTGCACGTCTTCAGCCGTACCGTACCGTACTGTACTGTTGCTGAATCCGTGCAGGAGAAGTTCCACGGGCAGTGGCGGCCCGCGTATGCATCCATCCATCCATCAGTTCTGCCTGTCCTTCCTTCCATCCGTTAAAGCGCCGTGACGCCGTGACCGACACCGCTGTGACACCGTTGTTACACCGTCAGTGCGGCCGTGTGTGGCATCTGTAACAGTGAGCGCAACAACGGAACAGGTCGCCCTGCAGTGCGGTCAGTAAAAACAAAATTTGCTCTCTCACTCTGTCCCTTGCTTATCCCACCCCTTACTTTGTCCCTGCATTTATCTCACACACTCCCCCTCTCTCTATCTGCCCCTGACCAATCTTCCTCTCTCTCAATGCTAACCTCGAGGCTCTCAAGGTACATACCATGCCGGTACGAGGGATGCAATGAAATACAAAGAGGCAGGCAGGCAGAAACAGGCAGGGGAAGGCTGCAACAAGAAGAAAAAATCAAGGCAAGAATCTACGATCAAACAAAAAGCGCAAGGACCACTAGAGCGAGTGACACCAGGCACGATAACAGGCAAAGCGTGCAACCCACTAGGCAAGCTGCACGCTGCAACCCAGTCCACTGCAAAAAGACAGCAGCATGCCTGGTGTAAGGCATGCCTTTACACGAAGACAGACATACCATGCACATGCACTACAAAGAACAACGAATTCTCAACAAACGGATTGTAAGAAAACGCAAAAAGACAGCATTCCCTTACACGAAAACAGAGATACCTTACGCACGCACTGCACTGCACACACCGACAACCTTCAACAACCTGCCAAAACGCAGCAAACGGCATGAAACCCACGAACGAAGCGACACCATACCATTCAAAACAGCACCACAGTAACGACCAGCATCTCATCTCACCTTCACTCATCCTCAATTGACTCTCATACTCACCCAAGGTTAAAAAATACGGTCGTTTATTTGAAAAGTTACGGTAAAAAACGGGTTCGTATAATAGGCTCCTGTGAGAAATCGTAGAGCAATTTAAAAAAAACGACCATATTTTTTAACCTTGTACTCACCCCATCAGTACCACCAACTGACGTGATTTTTTAGTTGACTGACTCATTAGGCACCAAACAACAGCACCACACTCACAACGACAACCATCTCACATTCATCGGCACCTGACTGACTGACTGACACTCACCCATCAATACGGCCGGTACCGCGAGCGCCCCCCACCATCCCCATTCCGCCCCTCGCCTCCCCCCCTCTCGTAATCCCTCTCCCTCCCCTCCTCCTTTATCCGATACCCACCCCCATACCCACCCCCATACCCACCCCCATACCCGCCCCCATAACCGCCCCCATATCCCCCTCCTCCCCCACCACCACCACCACCACCACCACCCCCATACCCACCCCCATAACCCCCCCCACCACCTCCTCCTCCCCCTCCGCCTCCCCCTCCTCTCCGCCCATCCCCTCCCCTTCCCCCAGCGAGCAGGGAAGGGCGGGGCTGCGCCATGCGGATCTCGTGGAGGGGCGAGCCCTTGATCATGCGCTGGCTGCGCGCGCACGCGCTGTCCGCCGCTGCAAACGAGTTGAAGCGCACGTAGCAGAAGCCGCGGCGAGAGCCGGAGGCTCTGTCCTTGGGGAAATATACGTCCTCCACCGTGCCGTACCTGTGAGGAGGGGGAGCAAACACGCGGGGGGAACGGAGTGGGGGAGAGCGGGAGGGTGGGGAGAGTGCAGCGAAAGAGTTAGAGAGAGGCGCGTAGCTGAAGCCATTTGGCGAGGCGGAGGCTCTGTCCTTGGGAAAAGGGAAGGGAAGGGAAGGGGACGGGGAGCGGAAGAGGAGGGGAAGGGGAGGGGAAGGACGAACCAAGGCGCCGATGCCTTGAGAAGTCTCAAGACTCGAAGCAAGGCCATGATATCGGATAATGGACGAGACGATCAAACAAACAAACGTGGACAAACGATCCGCAAAACCCTTACTGTTCAAAATGCTCTTTCACGTCTTGCTCGCTAATCTCCTCCGCCACTCCCCCAACAAAAATCCGAAACTCGTCCTCAAACCCTCCGCCTCCCCCTCCGCCTCCGCCTCCCCCTCCTCCGCTCCTCCCATACCCCTCCATAGCATTCGACAGTATATACCCTCCCCCATAGCCCGAACCTAGTCCGGCACCATAGCCGCCAGACGTGACTAAAGGAGTCACGGAGTAGTAATCCAAGCCTGCCGAACCTAGAGAGGCTCGGGGTGCTGCTGCGGCTGCCATGGCGAGGGAGGACGGGGGGTAGCCGGAGGCTCGGTGGGAGGGTCGGTCGTCGTTGTAGGCTAGGCGGCGGGATGGCTGCTCCGGTCCTCGAGGTTCGGCTTTGGTTATGGGGATGGTCACGCCGCAGATCTCGTAAGAGTCGTTTTCCACCTGAGGAGGGGGGGGGGGCGGCGTGAATGAGCATTAACGATTAGCTGTTTCTCAGATCTAGGCATGAGCAGCCCTAGATCTCGTAAGAATCGTTTTCCACCTGAGGGGGGCTACGGGAATGAGCGTTACCGACTGTCCACTTCTGCTACTACCATGATTGAAACGCTGGTAAGATGTTCAGTTGTTCGACGACCTCCATATGACGAACATTCCCGTACCGCGGCTTTGACGGCGTGCTCTTCTTCGAACGAGATGAACGCGATGCCTTTCAACGTGCCGGTGAACGGATCGCGCGGCACGTACACGTCGATCACGGTCCCGAACTTCTCGAAGAAGCTTCGCAGAACATCCTCTTTATGCTCCTCCGATATTCCCGCACGCAGAAACACGCGATAGCGATGCGACGGCATGGCGGGCCGTTCGTGACAGCAAAATGCGAACCCTAAACTGTCGAGTAGTTGAGCAGTAGGAATACAGACTAGTACAGAAGTCGCAAATGGCTCCGAACCGAACCGAACATAGGATTAAAATATCAGCTGTAGATGCTGGTTGGGAAGCTGACCTCACGATTGATCCAACGGGTGAGGTCTACCGACGGAAAAAATGAAATGTGAAACACCTAGGCCCAGTTCGGCAGCCACGGAAGAAGAACGGAAGGAAAAAATGATTCTCTCACAACACAAGAATCAGCTTTTTGATTCCAGGGCCCGGTTCGGCAGCCAGGGAGAAGAAAAAGTGTAGGAAGATGGGAGGAAGGTAAGGCGCAGGTCAACCCAGGGTCAACGAATTTTGACCCTGGTTTGACCGCTCCGCGGACAACCTGCGCTGTGGGAGAGCTGGCGCAGGTTGGAGGGGGGAGATAGGAAAAAACGTCGCATGTCCAGACACATTTGCCCTCAAATTCGAATGTCCAATGGCACTCTAGCAGGAACAAAAAAAAAAAAAATTTGGTGGGCGCCCCACGCTATATTGTAGAAGGGTTTTTTTTGTGTAGTAACCCTTTCCTTAGTAGGGTGCAATGTTGTCCCGTGAACAGTGATTCTTGTGGAAAAAAAAATCTGATTCTTGTGTTGTGAGAGAATCATTTTTTTCTTCCATCTCACTAGGGCGGAAGCTTTCCGCCAGGGGGGGGAAGAATAAGGACAGAAGACGGCGCGGAATCAATTTTAGGTGGTGTTCACGTCGCTGCTGTAAAACACATGCGCCTCGGTTTCCAAAATTTTAACCCTACAACCCGCACTGTACAGCCCTCGATAATGCGATTGGAAGCTTCACATAAGTAGCCTCAATTTTTTCTCCCGTCCTTCTTCCGTGGCTGCCGAACTGGGCCCAGAAGAAGCACTATTCACGGGACAACATTGCACCCTACGAAGGAAAGGGTTAATGCACAAAAAAAACCCTACTCCAATATAGTACGGGCCCTACTCCCCTATAGCGTGGGGCGTCCACCCCTTTTTTCGTTTGGGGCGAGCCCACTACAGTGCCCTGGGACATTCGAATGTCCAGGCAAATGTGCCTGGACATGCGGTGGTGTTTCCTATCTTCCCCCTCCAACCTGCGCCAGCTCCCCCACGGCGCGGGTTGTCCGCGGAGCGGTCAAGCCAGGGTCAAAGTTCGTTGAACCTGGTTTGACGCCCGCCTCCCCTTCCCTTCATCTTCCTAACATTTTGCTTCTCCCTAAATGCCGAACTGGGCCCTAATGTGCTCCTTACAATCTCAATCAATTGTTGTTTCACTTGAGTGTAACACATTCAATTCTCCCATTTCCTCCTGAACACTGAAATGAAACTCATCAAAGAGTTGCGTGAAATAAGGTAACTCCTGTGCCCCATCCCGTCCCGTCCCGCCCACCCACGTGCCCTGCTCGCAGCTAGCAGCCGCGCGCGCGCTAGGACACGCACGCCGCCGCACTCGCGCAGCTGCCAGCTCGACTCCGCGCACGCGCAGCAGGCCGCACGCGCGCACGAACAGCTGCAGCTCGCGCTGACGCACTGCAGCGCGCGCACGCCCTGCAGCTCGCGCACGCACAGCCCCAGCCCGCGCGCACGCTCTGCAGCTCGCGCACGCACAGCCCCAGCCCGCTCGCACGGCCTACAGCTCGTGCACGCACAGCCCCAGCCCGCGCGCACGCACTGCAGCTCGCGCACGCGTAGTCCATGCCCTGCCGTGCCACCGTGCCTTGCTGCCCACGCCCTGCCCTGCTGCCCATGCCCTACCCTGCCGCCCACGCACGCAGCAGTAGGCCACCGCGCAACACTAAGGCCCCGCGGCCCCTGGTTCTTAGGCCCCAAGGCCCCTCGTTCCTAGGCCCCGAGGCCCCTCGTCCTAAGGCCCTACGGCCCCTCGTTCTAAGGCCCCGAGGCACCTTGTTATAAGGCTCCGCAGCCCCTGTTCTTAGGCCCCAAGGCCCCTCGTTCCTAGGCTCCGAGGCCCCTCGTTGTAAGGCCCCGAGGCCCCTCGTTCTAAGGCCCTGCGGCCCCTTGTTCTAAGGCCCGGAGGCCCCTCGTTTCTAAGGCCCCGCGGCCCTCTATTCTAAGGCCCCTCGGCCCTCTACTCTAAGGCCCCGTGCCCCCCCCTCTTTGACCGCACTATCACGCAACCGACAGCTCCCCACCGCGCCAAGCCGCTTCCTACCGCACCTAACCACCCGTGCCGTACCTTTCATTACGTACTTTCACTGGCGTTCCACCCACAGCGGCTGGCGGCCGCAACATACTTCCTAGGGTAGTTAGGGTTAGTGTGTGACATCCCTAGGCTTGTCCTTTCTGGCTCTAACCGCCACTCAATGCGACCATTCCTAGTGTATCCCTTCCAACTTCGTTCGTTCGTTCGTCCTCTTTCGCCCCTAGTCCAGTCGAGCACTAGCCATGGCCGCCCCTCGACCTCTACGTTTCGATGCAGAAGGTAGGGCACTGGATTTCCCCGCCTGGCTCCTCCGCGTCGAGCTGCATCTGCAGAGCGAGCGCCGGGATGGCGACACGCTCTGGGCTCGCGCCTCTGGTAACCTGCCCACGCCTCCTCGCCCCCGTGACCTGCCTGAGGAGTCTACCGACGACGAGCAGGCGCGCTTCGATAAGGGCCGTACAGCCCTATCGGTGTGGCAGTCTCGTGACGTTGCTTCTCGTATCGCCCTCACCAGCCTTCTCCCTGAGTCTGAGGAGACCCACTTCACCCTGGTTCGATCTGCCCAGGCCTGTTTTGCGGCGATCAAGGCCCGTTACTCCACTCCCACCTCCGCCTCCCTTGGTCGTCTCTTCCTGCCGTTCCATTTTCCCGACCTAGGCACGTTTTCCCGCACTGCTGACCTTATCGCCCACCTCCGCTCGCTCGACACTAGCTACCGTGCTGCAAATACCGAGGCTCAGCTGGCAATTCTCCCCCCTCCCATGCCCATCACTATTCACATCATAGCCACTTCCCTCCCTAACCGTCTTGCACATGTCCGCGACGCGCTTCTTCTGAAGCACCCTACTGAGCTCACAATCGAGGTCCTTGAGTCACCACTCAAGGACATCGAGAGCAACATCCGCTCCGTAGCCTCTGCTTCTGGCGCTGTAGTTCCCCTGCTCTTTCAGGGGTGTACTGTTCCACAGCTCCCCACTTTCACTGCTTCGCTTGCCTCCACTACGTCTCCTACTACTGGTGAGACTGCTGCCGTGTCCACTATGGGTGGGCGGTCTAGGGGCAAGGGAGGTAAGAAAGGAGGGAAGGGTGGTGGTGCTGGTGGTGGCGGCGGGGGTGACGCAGGAAGTGGCGGAGGTGGGGACGGTCCTGGTCAGTCCCAGTCTAGTGGAGGGGGCCCTGGAGGTAACCCTGAGCCTGTGGGCCCGACGGGAGGGAGCGCTGGCGTAGCTAGTTGGTACGCCACAACAGCAGCGCAGCAGCAGAGGCGGCCCCAGCAGCAGCAGCCACAGCAGGGACAGGGACCGCGGGCAGCAGCTGGGACAGCCGTAGCAGCAGGGACAGCCGCAGCGGCAGGTACAGCAGCAGCCCCGGCAGTGGGGATCTGGTGGACCAGGGGGCTCTGGGCGTGGCAGTGGCGCGCCCAGCTGGGAGTCCCGGGGTACCCCCCCTACTCTTTGCACGTACCTTGTCCAGACTGGGACACGTCGCGGTCAGCCCTGTGGCCGCTTTCACCCTCCGAGACAATGTTTCAGGCAGCTCACGGACCGCCTTCGCGATCAGTACGATGACGGCCCCTCCCCGGACTGGGCCCCACTGGCTCGTTCTCTTGGTCCGTCGTTGTTTCAGATGTCTGCAGTAGAGTTGTTTGATGCCATGCAATCTGCCCTTGTGATGTATGCTGATGTTGACTATAGTGCTGCTTGATCCGTTTGCTCGCGTGTTTGTAGTTTAGACTCTTTGCCTGTTGCTAATGTAGGTGCCTGTGCTTCTAGTCTAGGTGCTTGTGTAGCTACTAGCCCAGGTGCACCTCCTGCTGAGGCGTCGCTCTCTTTCACACTGAACTCTGGAGAAACGCAGTGCTTCTTTCGCGACCACACGACTCTCACTCCGCTTCCCGCTCCGGTTCTGATCCTACCTCAGGACCAGCAGTTGCACGCATCTCTACCACCCTCCCGTGCCCGGCCGTCCCCTCTGGCGTCCTTACTGGTCTCCACATCCCCTTGTTCTCCAGGAACTTGTTGGGTGTTGGATATCTTCAGGACCGCCATGTCGGCGTCTGGTTTCCACGGTCTGAGCGTGACGGGACCTGCATGGACGGTGACACTTACGCTCCACTGGCCACGTTTGAGCGGGAGCCGGGCCGCACCGGCCTCTACACACTGCACACTCACTCTCCCCAGGTCGCCCCGTCTGGTCTGGTAGCTGCGTCTGGTCAGGTTGTTGCGTCGTATTTTTGTCGGTCGCTCGCCCACCCGACTGTCATGTGCCATGTCCCGTCTTGGTCACCCGTCCCTCCCGCGTCTCCGCAGCATGGCTAGCCAGGCGCGTGCTAGAGTCGCTCACTCGTTCGCCTGTGCCACTGTGCACTCCTTGCGTCGAGGGTCGGCTGCGCGCCACCCCTCACTCCTCCTCCCTTTGTCCGGCCACCGCGCCTTTCCAGACTCTCCACTTAGACGTCTGGGGCCCCACCCCTCGCCCTGGGCCCGAGAGGGAGAGTTTCTTTCTAGTGGTCGTTGACGACTACTCCCGCTACACCACGGTGTTCCCCCTGGCGAAGAATTCCAAGGTGACTTCTATGCTATGCAGGTGGTTGTTGGCCACTGAGGCCACACGTGGTAGTCGTGCCGTTTGTCTCCACTCCGACCGTGGGGGCGAGTTTCACTCCGGCGTTCTTCATGGATTCTGTAGCGAGCATGGCATCACCCAGTCCTGGACGCTTCCGGAATCCCCACAGCAGAATTGGGTTGCTGAGCGCCGCGTCGGCTTGGTCATGGACATCGCCCGC